AACAATGGATTCGAGAACGACCACAAATACAATATAGTCTCTTAAAGTTATGCAACGTACATAAATGATGAGCTGGTTTCATAATTAGTTTCATAATAGCCCACCCCCATAAGGTTTCCCAACGTCAAGAAACGGTCGTACTAAAGTGCCCTTATCCTAACCTACCAGAGGACCCGAAACAGAAAATGGGACAGTACGTCAATTTTGCGAGTTGCAGTGGAAAGGTTACAGTTCTTTCCGCTAAGGATTTTCAGTTTACATTTGGTCAGTTCTACATCAGCAGGTAATGAACAATCCCAGAGGTACCTATAGCCAAGTCTACCCGAGCAGTAGTAACATCTAGGAGTCGGCTGATTTTATTGGATGAACTATGTATGTGTGGCTCGTCTTGCATGATAGTACGATATTAGATGGAACTTATAGTGTAGATTGCACATTGTCTCAGATTTACAAGGTTTTGTTAAAGTTCTTGGTTCTCAAGTTGCTTGTTAACAGCCCAAGTCATGGTCAATTCCTATGATGGCAGAATCTATGTCAATCAATCAGTCAATCTTTGACTGATTTGTAAGTCAATCTTTGACTTACATCTCTGTAATGCTTCGGAGGAACAGATAACTTTATCTTCGATGAAGTTATCTGTTTCTTCAACACAATCAGTTTTTTAGTCAATTGTACTACAGTAGAGTTCGTTCTCGTCTCACAATCGATAATTCCGGGTTCAATTCCCGGGCAAGAGAGAAATGATTTGGGCGTGTTTCATATCACCCTAATGCACCTGTTCACCTAACAGTAAATAGGTGCACAGGAGTCTGTCAGCTTATAGGGTAGCAGTAATATTACCCTCGGGGGAAGAGCAGGGGGACCTCAGCATAAGCTCAACATGTATATATACACTGGCTGCCTGTCCCCCGACACAATGAATTAACACAATATTATTATTATTATACTATATTTACTTCTTGAAGCTTTATCCTGCCCTCTTATTCAATAGGAGTATCAATCAATGTTTTTTTCAAAAGAATATGTATATAAAGAACATTGTATACACATTCAGTGTATACAAAGAACATTGTATACACATTCAGTGTATACAAAGAACATTGTATACACATTCAGTGTATACAAAGAACATTGTATACACATTCAGTGTATACAAAGAACATTGTATACACATTCAGTGTATACAAACAACATTGTATACACATTCAGTGTATACAAAGAACATTGTATACACATTCAGTGTATACAAAGAACATTGTATACACATTCAGTGTATACACATTCAGTGTATACAAAGAACATTGTATACACATTCAGTGTATACAAAGAACATTGTATACACATTCAGTGTATACAAAGAACATTGTATACACATTCAGTGTATACAAAGAACATTGTATACACATTCAGTGTATACAAAGAACATTGTATACACATTCAGTGTATACAAAGAACATTGTATACACATTCAGTGTATACAAAGAACATTGTATACACATTCAGTGTATACAAAGAACATTGTATACACATTCAGTATACAAAGAATATTGTATACACATTCAGTGTATACAAAGAATATTGTATACACATTCAGTGTATACAAAGAACATTGTATACACATTCAGTGTATACAAAGAACATTGTATACACATTCAGTGTATACAAAGAACATTGTATACACATTCAATACAAAGAACATTGTATACACATTCAGTGTATACAAAGAACATTGTATACACATTCAGTGTATACAAAGAACATTGTATACACATCCAGTGTATTCAAAGAACATTGTATACACATCCAGTGTATACAAAGCACATTGTATACACATCCAGTGTATACAAAGCACATTGTATACACATTCAGTGTATACAAAGAACATTGTATACACAAGAGTTACTACTAATGAAGCAGTACTATTCAAGCCACTATTACGCAAAGCGTTTCAGGCAAGTATATTGATCAGATGAAGCAGTGGAGTGTGTTAGCACTTGGTATGGAGTAGATGTTACTCAAATAATAACTATGTTACTATTAGAGATGTTATATGTTACTCAAATAACTCAAATTATAATTATTATATTAATTATTAAATAGGAACTGAGATAAAGAAGCAGGAATATCTGCCTATTCATCTGATTAAGAAAAAGAACGTTTATATTGGCCAATGTCTGGGATCCTTGTAGGTATTTGATATGCCCAGAGTCAAACTAAATCTGTGTAAACACTCTATGCAAGTAAAGGGACCTAGTCTATGAAACTCGCTTCCTAACGAATTAAAAAGTTGTCCAACCTACGCTGTATTTAAAAGTAAAACCAAAATGTACTTAAATTTCATCCTCATAGTTTCCTACCTAGTGCTACAAACTTACACTGTATCTTGTGCTCCCCACTCTCCAAAAATACTGTATGTACCTAAGCCATACAACTTCACCGTTGTATTGACCGCTATCATCTTGTATCATGGTAGTTATGTTGAATGCAAATTTTACTACAATGTACCTAGAAATAATTCTCAAATTATGGTACAGTGTACCTGTTGATGATCATCAAATTTTACTATAATGCGCCTACTAATTTTCTTCAAATTTTCTTACAATGTACCTGTTAAAATTGTTTAATTTTGCTACAAATTACCTACTCAAATTTATGTTACATTAAGTACCTGCCCAAAACATTATGCGTGTTAGTGGCTTTACAAGAATGTAAAAACATCAATGCTATGTACTCTCATAAACCCAATGTACCTTCTTGTATATATACTGTATATAAATAAATAAATGAAGTATTAATGACCAAGCCACACATCAGAAAATGTAGATACGACAATGTTTTGGTCTGTCCTGGACCATTATCAAGTTGTGTGAGAGATGAAAGGAAGGTACAAGCAAATAAATAAAAAAAAAAAGATGAAAGGTGAGGAGCAGGTAAGAGAAAAGGGTAAGATTAAGATGAAAGATAAGTATGGGACAAAAGGTAAGAATGGGATGAATGTAAGAGTAGGATGAAAGATAAGAATGGGATGAATTATTCAGTTGGGATTCAGCAGGGAGAGAAACAAACATGCGCTCCACGTATCATTTATTCAACAACAACAACAAACAATGACGTCATCGGGTATAGGTTACATGACTTACTATTTACAGAGCTTATAAGACAAAAAAAGCATCTACTCAAAACATTATGCACCTAACCTATGTAGCATTTAATCCTACAAAATATCTTAATCCTAACATTCCTCCCCACTTAATTAAACTCTTCCCTATGGGTTAAGTCTATCAGGTGGTCATGCGACTCTTCCTGATTTTCTCAACTGGGGCTCCAGACTTGTTACTTCTAAGGAACCTTCTACTTCTACTGAATTACTAACTTCTGAGTCCCTAGGGTTAGCTGTATCCACATTTCCCTCTGTTGCCCCTTGCTCTGCCTCCCTGTCTCCTGCAGGTGCTGCTACCCCTTCATTATTAAGATAGGTATCCCTAGTTGCCCCTTTACCCCCCTGAAGGGTCTTCAAAATTCCCTGTGTACCTTAGCGTGAGCTCATCTGCATGTCTTTGCCAATTAATATTCCCAAAACTCTGCACTTGCACGGTGAAATTCCTGCAGCCCAAGACTTTCATAATTTTCCCTTCTATCCGAGGCAAATGCATATACTGCATCCTCCTCTTTACACAACACTTCCTCTCCCTGAGCCAACTAACTGGCCAAGATAGTTACAGATTTATCTTTATCTTGATCTTGTCATTACTGCTTCCATGTGCACTTTAAAGTGCCTATTAAACAGTAATTCAGAAGGAGATTTACCAGTAGTAGAATGAACAGCTTGTCTTTGATTATTCAAAAATCTACAAAGTCTTGGATTAATAGTACCTTCCATAAACCGCTGTCACCCTTCTTTCAAGGATCTCATTGCTCTCTAAGCCAGACCTTTTGAAGAAGGATTATAGGGGGCCAGGTGTTACATGTTTAATAACATTCTTTCTAAAAAAAATCCTTTATGAACTCCAAACCTTCCCAGATATTCTAAAAAAAGCGAGAGTAACGCCTGTCCACAAATGTGGTAAGCTCACAGATGTTAACAACTACAGACCTATATCTATCCTGCCAAACTTGTCAAAAATTTTTGAAAAACTAATCTATAAGCAGCTTTACTCATATCTAACCAAACTCAATATACTTAGCCCTTGCCAATATGGCTTCAGACCCAAAAAAAGCACTAACGATGCACTTATTAGTATGCTTAACTCGATTCATACAGCTCTTGATAAAAATGAGCTCCCTGTTGGGTTGTTTGTGGACCTGCGTAAAGCTTTTGATACTGTCAACCACCAAAACCTTCTTCTTAAATTACATCATTATGGAGTCAGAGGACACTCCCTACAATACCTCAAATCCTACCTTACTGACAGGCTCCAATATGTTTCTGTGAATAATACAATTTCTCCCACCCTACCCATCAACATTGGTGTTCCCCAGGGCAGCATACTTGGCCCTCTCCTCTTTCTCATCTACATTAATGACCTTCCAAATGCCTCCCAACACCTCAAACCAATTCTATTTGCTGACGACACAACCTTCATTTACTCCAGTCCTGATCCCCTTGCTCTAAATGCCACAGTAAATACTGAGCTAAATAAAGTCCATCTGTGGCTAACTGCCAACAAACTCACCCTTAACATTGACAAAACCTTCTACAGTATATTCTGTTTGGCAATAAATCCTCTAATCAAATAAATCTCAAAATAAACAATACCCAAATTTGTAACAAATTAGATGGCAAATTCCTTGGCATTCTCATTGACCACAAGCTTAATTTCCAGGGACACATTCTAAACATATCAAAAAAAGTTTCAAAAACTGTGGGCATTCTTTCTAAGATCAGATATTATGTACCACGCCCTGCCCTGGTGACTCTCTATTACTCCCTTATCTATCCATATCTCAACTATGGTATTTGTGCTTGGGGCTCTACTACCCAAAATCACTTACGTCCTCTAATTTTCCCAGAAACAAAAATAAAGAGCATTATCTGACATCACCATGTCTGGCAATCCAAAATTACAAAATGTTTTCCTGAGCAGTTCACAAGTTACAGATGATGTGGAATTACACACATGAACATCCACAAATTTTATATATGAATCCACAATCACCAAGTAATACTGTATTTGTTATCCATTGGTCCAGCATAACCTATATGAAGTCTGGACTAGGGTTTCCCACCGCATGGCCAGGAAAGTACTGGGGCCTGGGGTTTCTGATAATTCTCAAAACAAATGTGACAATTCTTAGTTACTTCAGCAATATCCTGGTCCATTTTTGGCCACCAAACCCAACTTCTAGCTTTTGCTTTTATAGCATTAATGCCATTATGGCCTACATGCAGCTGTTCCAAGATTTTACATCTCAGTTCCACAGGAACCACCACTCTATTCCTATACAAGAGTACATCCTGGTGAATACCAAGGTCAGCCTTTACTGCAGCATACTCTGACAATAGTAAATTATCATTCCCACCATATTTGACATACTTCATCAACAGATTTAATTTGTGATCTCTGTTAGTTGCATTCTTAATAGTCTGGAATGTAATATCCTCAAAAGACATAGATTCCACTAGGTTAACATATTCCACTGGAATACTGGAATTCGACTCTTCTGTAACAGGCAATCTACTTAATGCATCAGCCACTACATTACCCTTGCCTGGCCTAAATTCCAAATCATACTCAAACTGTGAGAGTAGCAATGCCCATCGTTGAATTCTAGCATTGGCATTAACTGGAATTTGTTTACCTCTGCCAAACAATCCTAGCAGGGGTTTATGGTCTGTTCTAGCAAGAAATTTCCTACCCAGCAAAAAATACCTCAGCTTTTTAACAGCATATACCAAGGCTAAGGCTTCTTTGTCTAACTGGGAATAACTCTGTTCTGCAGGAGATAATTTCTTGCTAGCAAAATAGACTACTTTTTCCTGACCATCTACTTCCTGTAATAATACACAGCCCACTCCTATTGGGGAAGCATCTACCTCCAGTTTTAAAGGGAGTTTACCAGTAAAATTAGTGAGCAAAGGAGAATTTAGCAATTCCTGCTTAATATTCCTGAAGGCATTCTCCTCTCTAGCTGTCCACTTAAATCTAGCTCCTTTTTTCAATAATTCATACAAGGGCTTTAATTTTGTTGAAAAGTTCTTCACAAACTTAAAAAAATATGTTATCATCCCTACAAAAGACTGTACTTCCCTCACTGATGTTGGGGCTGGAGCGTCCACTACAGCAGCTACATTTTTGTGAGAAGGAGTAAAGCCCTTACCTGAAATATGGTACCCCAAGTATTCAATGTCACTGGTCTTCAATGCTGTTTTACCCTTATTAATCTTTACATTGTGCTCTTGCAGAAGATTCAAAACCTTTTCTAATCTAGCATCATGTTCTTCCTCATTCTCCCCGCATACAATAATGTCATCTAAAAAACTAACCACACCATCAATGTTTACTAACAACTGAGACATGAATCCCTGAAAAATTGCTGGAGAAGAGGAGAGTCCAAAAGGAAGTCTTTTATACTTATATAACCCCTTATGAGTATTAATCACTAACATTTTCTGGCTCTCCTCATCTACAGGAATTTGCAAGTAGGCATCTTTTAGGTCAATCTTAGAAAAAACTGTCCCCTTGCAAACCACTGACAACAACTCATCTATCGTGGGCAATGGATATTTTTCACAATGGATGCGATTATTTAATTCTTTAAAATCTGCAGGGATTTTCATGGATTTCCGATCTGCCTTCAGCACTGGTACAATTGGGGCTGCCCACTCACTATGTGTAATTTGCTCTAAAATGCCTTCTGCTACATGCCTTTCCAGGGCTGATTCTACCAGTTGCTTGTAATGGAATGGAGTTGTTCTTGCTTTGAAGAATTTAGGTGAAGCCCCACTATTCAGGTGAATTTTTGCCACCATATTATTAATTGGCTTACCTGCATCCACTGAATATTTTTCCAACATATCTTTGGCACTCTTATTTTTTTTTACTACAGACAACTCATTCAGGCCAGCCAAGAAAATTCCCATCTTTTCCATGAGATCCTTATCACATAGGTTAGGATGATGTGACTCCACTACATAAAAATCCTGGACAATTTCTTTCCCGTTATAGCTTCCTTTTACTGACACCTTGCCATAGACCTTAATTGGCACATTATCATATGCACTTAATGATGTCCCACATGGTTTAACATTCAATTGCAAGGTATCTGCCCAATCTCTAGACAATGTTGACATTGCAGCACCAGTGTCCAGTTCCAAGGGAACTAACTTCCCATTAATTACAAAATTCACCACTTGGGACTTCACAGAACATACCTTTTCTTTCATCAAAAATAATCTGCTTTCCTCACCTGCAGCTTCTTCAGACGGTTTACCTTCCTCTACTGCGTTGACCACAGTACTGTTACCTCCTCTTCCTGCATTACCTGGTCGTATCCTCTCCAAGGCCTTGCTATTTTTCTTCAAGTATTCACTACACACTTTTCTCAAGTGCCCTTTCTTGTCACAAAAGTTGCATATATAGTTCTTAAACTTGCAGTTGCCACTACTGTGATTGTATCCACAGTGTTTGCATCTTATCTGGTCCTGCACGACCATAATTTCATGGGTAGTAGATTTCTTACCTCTGAAAGCCATTTCCAGGTTCAAAATCTTTTCTAGCACTGTCCTTGAAGTCATCAATTGTAAATCAAAGTTTTCTGCCACCAGGTTAGGGAAAAATATCTCATTTTCTACTGCCATGAACAACTGGTCCCTGACCCGGCAGTCAAACTGTGCCCCAAAGTTGCAGTTGTTAGCCAACGCCTTCAATTCCTCATATAAATCCTGTAAGGATTCCTGCTGCTTTTTCGTCCTCTTCTGGAAATCCATCAAACTTCTGTGATATGAAGGTTTCACTACATAATGATGTTTAAGCAAGGTAATCAGGTCTTCATAAGTCTTCGTGTGGGGTAGCTCTGGCGCGCACACGTTACCAAGGACAATATACACTGCTGTACCCAGTGAAACTAAGAGTGCCGCTTTCTTGTTTGCATCCTCCTTAATCCCATGGAACTGGAAGTTTGCTTCCAGCAGGCTCAGCCACAGGTTCAACGAGATCTTGGTAGCATCAAACGGCTCCATTGAGATGAGTGCTGGGGCAGCCATAGCCATGGTTGAACACAACTCACTATTGTCTAAATTCTTCGGCCCATCCACACGATGCACTCCGCTCTCTCTTAAAGCTCCACACCTTGTCTTGTACCCAGGCTCTCTGCATCAGCTGTTAATCCTCGTCGCCACTGTTAGGATTCAGCAGAGAGAGACACGAACTTTAGCTCCACATGGCGTTTATTCAACAACAACAAACAATGACATCACCGGGTAAAGGATACATGACTTATTATTTATAATGCTTATAAAACAAAAGAGCATCTGCTCAAAACATTATGCACCTAACCAATGTAGTACTTAATCCTACAAAATACCTTAATCCTAACAGTAAGAATGTAATGAAGGTAAGAATGATATGAGGTAAGAATAAGAGGGAGGTAAGGGGAAAGGTAAGAAAAAGAAAAGGGGTAGGAGAACTACCTTATAGGTATTATTGCTGACGAAGGTTATGAGCTCCTTTGTGGCATTTTTCTTCTTAAATTAAAATTTATCCAAACATCTGGACAGCCATCTTCTACTCATCGTAAAGCATCTTATGAGTGACCTAAGGCCTTTCCTGTCGTCAATTTTGTTCATTTTTTATTTATATATGTACAAGAGTTCTTACATCCTTGTAAAGCTATTAGCATGCATAGTGTTACGGGAAAGTCCTTAATCCTAATATTCCCCGGAATATGATATAATATTCCCCGGAATATGACATAATATTCCCCGGAATGATATAATATTCCCCGGAATATGATATAATATTCCCCGGAATATGATATAATATTCCCCGGAATATGATATAATATTCCCCGGAATATGATATAATATTCCCCGGAATATGATATAATAATATAATCCGGAATATGATATAATATTCCCCGGAATATGATATAATATTCCCCGGAATATGACATAATATTCCCCGGAATGATATAATATTCCTCTAATATTCCCCACCAAATCGTTTAACAACCAGGTACTGTACTCACTCACTGTTGGGCAAACAGAGGCTACAGTTAAGGATTGGCACCCAGTAAATCCCCCCCCCCTCCCTGGCCAGGATACAAACCCAGGCCAAAGTGCTTGCGAAGCACCGGGCGAGTGTTTTACCACTGTACCAAGAGGAAATTTAGACTACTGTATCCAAGCATGGAAACCTCATCTTCAGGAGGACATATCTGCTTAGGAGAACGTACAATGCAGAACAACAAAAATCATCCCAAAACTAAGCCACCACAACAGTGCAAACATGACAATGCAAACCTCAAAGAAACTTTTAAAATACTGAAGACGTTGAAGGATATTAATGCAAACTACTGTACTTCAAAAGGTCAAATGTAACACATACAAGAGGTAACAGCTTCAAGCTAAACAACTCACAATGTATGAAAGAAAACAGGAGATGCTGTTTCACCAATAGAGAAACACATGGAACCACCTCGTAGCCTCGTAGCCTGGTGGATAGCGCGCAGGACTCGTAATTCTGTGGCGCGGGTTCGATTCCCGCACGAGGCAGAAACAAATGGGCAAAGTTTCTTTCACCCTGAATGCCCCTGTTTCCTAGCAGTAAATAGGTACCTGGGAGTTAGTCAGCTGTCATGGGCTGCTTCCTGGGGGTGGAGGCCTGGTCGAGGACCGGGCCGCGGGGACACTAAAAAGCCCCGAAATCATCTCAAGATAACCTCAAGATAACCTGCTTACCAAAGTCATAAATACCAAGACTCCTGAGACTGATGGATGCCTACTACTACTGCAGTTCAAAATCTAGTTGTAAAAAATTATCAGGCAAAATGGGAGAAACCTTTGACAAGCAACAGGTTTCTGTCCCCATCGTGGCCACTAGATAATGGTCCTCGGGTAAATTTAGGTAAATTGAGCTCTGAGCTTACAGTTTCATTAGGAACATCAGTGAGTTTCCTAATGCAATGTGGTCTTAGTTAAAAAAAAAAAAATTACTTGATTTTTTTGTTAATTCCAAGATAGGATGATATGTTTTAGCATCATTGGAAAGCTTATTGTTATAGTACAGATCAGAACATTAAAATGTTAAAGAACTTCAAGTCGGCTACAATAACAAATGATTGCTGTCTCATGAAATAAAACTGTCTCATGGACATATAAGATTACATAAATTTCTGCAGTAAAAATACATGTACCATACTGTGCTGTATTTGTCTCTAGGTGAAGGTGGCACATGGACGATGCATCAGAATAAAAACATAGACACCAACTCCATGGCTTAAGAAGGAATCGGTATTACAATGGAGCGCATGTCTAAGGAACTGCTGGCAAAATCCTAAATATTATGACAATGAATATTCTATTCATTCTAATCTATTCATATTCATTTTACTTGAATATTCTATTATATTCATTCATTCATCCAGATATATTCTAACGTGTTCATTTTTATAGATTCATTTTCTGTTGATTTTGAGAGTATCATCTTTCATTATACAGTACCTGTACACGTGTTTATTAAATTAATAGAGTAATCTTCTCTGTCTAATTTTAAATATTTAGGTTATGATTCACCGAGTCAGTTCCTAAAACTATTTATTTTGAAACTGCATTATGTGATGATCAAATGAACATCAATATTAACAGACCAAAATCGATTTATAGTACTGGGAATACTGCTGTAGACTTGCCCCGTTTAAGGTGATTCCTTGCAAAAATTCACTTGCATAAACCTAATTGGAGACCCAACTGTCATGCATAATTGTTGATGACAGAATTACAGTATTCATCACATAAGTAATTGTTGCACTGAATTATATTTGTATCACATAGGCATATTATATGTCTATGTGATACACATTTTGAAAGGAATAATATAGTTTTCCTTTTAGCACTATTCAGTCAACTCTTGATGCTGGAATCCTTGGTAACCTGCAATTTTTAATAACTTTGAGATTATATTGTACGTTGCCAAAATTTCAAATAGTTACAGTATTTGAAATTATGCCAACATACAACATTAATATATCCTTGCCCTAATACTTGTATCACACCCTTATTTATTTTTACAGAATATCATCTATATACAAGCAGGCTATCATTGTATTTTTATATAACTTGAGGCTGTGAGCCACAACAGCTGTGTGAAAAAACTGTTACAAGTGACCGTGGACAAAATTTAAATTCTGACGGACATGAGGAAATTTGGTCTAATAATTGTGAATGGTGAAATGTTGTGGATCATTTTAAGTTACTGGGATGTGTGATTGACAAAGATGAATTTTTGCAATCAAATTTGAAAAGTTGAGAGTCGGGCAAGTGAGAGAAGGACAGAGGCTGGCAGAGTGATAGTCCTCGTTGTAAACACGTGACAGTTAAGAGTTACATTCTTAAACACAGTTGAGTTAGGCAGTGATGTGGTGGAGGCTGACACCATACACAGTTTCAAATGTAGATATGACAGAGCTCGAGAAGCTCAGGAATCTGTACACCAGTAGATTGACGGTTGAGAGGCGGAACCAAAGAGCTGAAGCTCAACTAGGTGAGTACAGTAATACCTGTAGATGCATGAAGGCATTCTTGGGCCAACCCTTATTTACCTAAATTTACCTGAGGGCCACTAACACTGGTGGCTTTGACGAGGACAGGAAGCTGGCGGCTCGTCGAAAGTCCCCCTATTTGCGTTGATAATCTTTTTCCAGCTATGTACCGATTTAAGGTGATGATAATATTAATATGAAAATTCAAGAATTAGAGTAGTAGAAATAGACAAATGAAGAAGCATGTGTGGGGTTAGGAGACTTGACAAAGTAAGAAATGAAATTGGCATAGCAAAGCAGAATGTTGAAGATGATGAACTGCAAAATTGAAAGTGTTCCTATAGTTTTTTGTCTGGGGCTTGGGTAGTTCGGGCTTGTGCAGTTAATGGATGATGGTATATTTGAGTGAATTTGAGAGTTAGATGAAGAAGGGAAAGGAAAGGAAAGTCGGGAAGAAAATATGTGGGCATGGCAAGTATCATGAATATGTGAGATAACAAGCGTCAGCCAGAAAAATGATAGGATGGATTATGAGAACCTTCAAATCCAGGGATCCCATCACAAGGGTTGTATTATTCAAATCACTTGTGTTGCCCCGTCTTGAGTACTTTTCGATACTCGCTTTCCCCTTCAGAGCAGGAGAGATTGCTGAAATAGAGGGAATACAGAGAATATAACATAGACGAGATAAAGTACCTAAACTACTGGGACCATCTCAAAGTTCTCCAAATGTACTCCCTAGAAAGAAGATGAGAGATATAAAAATATGCTGTACACGTGGAAAATACTGGAGGCCAAGTCCCAAATCTACACAGTAAAATAACAACATACTGGAGTGAAGGATATGGAAGAAAATGCAGAATAGAACCAGTGAAGAGCAGAGGTGCCATAGGCACAATCAGAGAACACTTTCTGAACATCAGAAGCTCACGGTTGATCAACATACTGTCAGCTGTTGAACAAATTATATAAATTAGAAATTATATAGAAGTGCTGGACCAACTGGGCTATGGTGGCTATGTTGCTTGTTGCTCCAAGCAACAGCCTATTGGACCAAGCTCTCACAAGAGCTTGGTCCAAGAGTAGAGTAGAAGAGAAGAAGAACTCCCCCAACTTCATCCAGGTAACAGGGACTAAATGTAAATAACGCATACCATTACACATACATTCATATCCCATATGTCATTTCATGTGGGACACTGATATCTGGTGCAGGTGATGAGTCACAATAACGTGGCTGAATTAATGATGACCAATGATGGTCATCATAATGATGGTTTGGTCATCACTGTATACGTGATTTTACGAAGTTGCAGGTTGCAGCTGTAAATGATTGCTGGAGCATGGTAATAGTTTACCCATTATATTGTATAGTGTAAATAACAATTAGACAACTGATAATTTTCTGTATACAGTATCTACACCTTCTTCCTCTCTCTTTTTCTCCGGGCTGATGTTTCTGCCCCCAAACAAAGTAGGAAATAAGGTAATGATGATGAATGATTGGATTATATGGAATGTGGGAATATGATACATAGGACACATGGAGTCAATATGGAGTTCCTTGGTATCTGTATACTAAATTATCATATACCCTTTTAGACTGAAAGCTTATTCTGTACACCACATCCCATTGTTTACATCAAATGCCTACATATGTCTACATATGCCTACATACGATTACAAATGTCATACATAAGTAGCATCAATGTGAGACGCACGAGCTGGGACAAGACTTAGGAAAATGGTTTGAAGTTGGGGACAGTGTTACCACTGAGGGTCTTCAAGGTATATAGCATATTAGAAAATGAATGTTGTGATTATCTATACTGAATATGATTGCTTACTATCTACAACCTATTATCGCCTAGCAAAATGTTTAATACTAATAGGTTGTAGATAGTTTTTAGTTGTTGATCCTCAAGCATGGATCCTTTAAGATATGAATAGGCAATGAGCTGTACACAGGAAGAATTGTGGAATGAGGTACATAGCAATGGATTTTTAAATTTAACTGTTAAAGATACTTGATTGAAAAAGTTACATTTAAATTAAGGAGCTACTTGGATACTGAGGGTATATGAAATGTAAGGACATGTACAGTAGAACAAAGGAGAAACGTGGATTATAATGAATGTAGGGGGTGGGGGTGAAGGTGAGGTATGCAACATGTGCCCCTCTCTGACCATTCCACTTTTTTCCCAGGATGTCATTGTCCTTCCCAATTAAGACATACAATGTTAGTAACAGCACCTCTCGTCCTGTGGACTTAGACGATGACTCCTTAGATGATGCCCAACCACTTGGGCTGGAGGGTAGAATGACGGTCTCACTTTATGCAGGTCGGCATTCAATCCCCGACCGGCCAACTGGTTGGACACCATCCTTCCCCCTGTCCCATCCCAAATCCTTATCCTGATACCTTCTAAGTGCTACATACAGTAGACATAATGGCTTGGCACGTTCCCCCGATAATTCCCTCCCTCCCTCCTTTTTAGACAGCTCGGTACATAGTACGACAACAAAAAACTGGCACAAAGCCATCTCAAGACCAGGGCGAGTCCTGCCTTACTTGATTAGGAGCCAAGCAAGACCATTGTGCATACTGCCACACCATCTTTGGTGACATGAAAGTTCTCAACACACTTTACACAGTATTGCCGTACCGACCTTCGCGTTTTTAATATGTGATATACATTAAAGCACAGAACTTTTTGTCAGTGTCAATTGTGCTGTCAGTGACACCCCACCAAACCTTGGTGACGTCACTGAACTTAGCAGGCAACGAGTCAGCTGCTCTACTTCTTTAGGCGACAGAATAAATCAGATTGAATTTTATTTAAAAGAAATGTATGTAGGCGTCCATAAAGTTGAGACATTTATGTGAAGGGCAAATGATGTGGATCTATATAACACTGGTTGATACCTGGTTGATGGGGTTCTGGGAGTTCTTCTACTCCCCAAGCCCGGCCCGAGGCCAGGCTCGACTTGTGAGAGTTTGGTCCACCAGGCTGTTGCTTGGAGCGGCCCGCAGGCCCACATACCCACATACATACGTATGTTGTGCATACACTGTTGCACAACACATTGCCTTTTTTGATGAACTGCATGCAAAGTGGATACAGGCACTCCAGTGTCATTAGCATGTATGAACAAAATATCCACTGTACCAGACAATAAATTCACCCACATTACTTGTTCAGTGCACAGGAAACATCAAATGTGGCAAATGTTTTGCTGGTCACATGTCCATGCTGCTAACAAGGTGACAGTTATTCTAGAAATGGACATGTTATACAGTGCTGTAGTAAACCCAGTCAAAGCAGAACCCAAAGTATGGGTAGGGTTCAGAACTCCACCCCATACATCCTACATCACACCTCAGCCCATCCTTCTAAGGCTTCCCAATGTCAAGAAAATGGCCAATTTATAGTGTCCTCTCCTGACCTACCAGAGGACCCAAAACAGAAAATGGGACAGTACGTCACTTTTGCGAGCCGCTTTCATTTTCTAGTACGACAATTTATGGCCTTATGAAACGCATACAAACAAAAAGCGACGTTCTTTGTAGGTGGACAGGTTGAACACCTACATCTCGGACAAATGGAAAACAGAACCAGGCATTTTCTATAAATGTATTAAATGCATCCTGCATGTAAAGGATAAAATCCAGAGACTGAAAAAGGGGGGAGCAGATTCAGAGAATGAAAAGGAAATATGTGAAACACTGATGCCCCTCTAAGTTTTAGACCCGTATCATTGACAAGCGTGGTATTCATAACACTGGAAAAAATAGTTAAAACCAAATGAGTTTTTACTTGGAGAATAATGACATAATAACAAACAAACAGTATGGTTTTTGAATAGATAGATCCTGTATAACAAATTTACTTAGTTTTTATGACAAGAGCCACAGAGATTTTACATGAAAGTGATGGTTAGGTTGACTGTTTATCTGCACCCAAAAAAAAGGAAGGATTTTGACAGAGTCCTACAAAAGAGGCTGTTCTGGAAACTGGAACAGGCTGAAGGGGTGACAGGCAGATTGCTGACAGGGATGAAAGATTTCCTGACAGAAAGATTACCATTTTTCTGTCAGGAAAGGGCCGTAATCAGAGGCAATGTATAACACTGGAGAAATGTTACTAGTGGGGTATCACAGGGTTCAGTTCTTGCACAGGTAATGGTCATCATCTGTATAAACAATCTACTAGAAGGAATACAATTATAAGAACAGTTTTGATGATACTAAGCTTCTGAGGTAGATAAGAGACTTAGACAATTGTCATGCCCTTAAAGATGATTTGAACAAACTAAGTGAATGGAGCAATACTTGGTAAATGGAATTCATTGTGAATAAATGTCATGTTATGGAACGTGAAATAGGAGAAAATAGGCCACACACACACACACACACACACACACACACACACACACACACACACTGTATGAATGTATGCCAAATTTTTAAAACTATACGAGGAAGGCACACAAACATTCATACCAAAACAGAGATGCAGGACCAGAAAACAGGATTGGTTCGACAGAAATTGTGAGAGGGCAAGAGACCAAAAGACACAAAAATGGAATCAGTATAGGAAGAGGCCAAACCCCCAAACATACCAGCGATACAAAGATGCGAGAAACAACTATACAGCAGTAAGGAGAGAGGCAGAAAGAAATTTTGAAAAAGGGATAGCAGATAAATGTAAAACAGAACCGGGCCTATTCTACAAATTCATAAACAACAAATTGCAGGTAAAGGATAATATCCAGAGGTTGAAAATGGGAAACAGATTCACGGAAAATGAAAAGGAAATGTGTGAAACATTAAATGAAAAGTTCCAAAGTGTGTTTGTACAAAATGAAATCTTCAGAGAACCAGACACAATAAGAATTCCAGAGAACAACATAGAGCGGATAGAGGTGTCTAGAGATGAAGTGGAAAATATGTTAAAGGAGCTCGGGAAGAACAAAGCAGCTGGCCCAGATGGCGTTTCACCATGGGTTCTGAGAGAATGTGCATCTGAGCTCAGCATTCCACTTCACCTGATCTTTCAGGCATCCCTGTGTACAGGAATTGTAGCAGACGTGTGGAAACAGGCTAACATAGTTCCAATCTACAAAAGTGGCAGCAGGGAAGACCCCCTCAATTATAGACCTGTATCATTGACAAGTGTAATAGTGAAAGTATTGGAAAAGCTAATCAAAACTAAATGGGTAGAACACCTGGAGAGAAATGATATAATATCAGACAGACAGTATGGTTTTCGCTCTGGAAGATCCTGTGTATCGAATTTACTCAGTTTCTATGATCGAGCCACAGAGATATTACAGGAAAGAGATGGTTGGGTTGACTGCATCTATCTGGACCTAAAAAAGGCTTTCGACAGAGTTCCACATAAGAGGTTGTTCTGGAAACTGGAAAATATTGGAGGGGTGACAGGTAAGCTTCTATCATGGATGAAAAATTTTCTGACTGATAGAAAAATGAGGGCAGTAATCAGAGGCAATGTATCGGAATGGAGAAATGTCACAAGTGGAGTACCACAGGGTTCAGTTCTTGCACCAGTGATGTTTATTGTCTACATAAATGATCTAACAGTTGGTATACAGAATTATATGAACATGTTTGCTGATGATGCTAAGATAATAGGAAGGATAAGAAATTTAGATGACTGTCATGCCCTTCAAGAAGACCTGGACAAAATAAGTATATGGAGCACCACTTGGCAAATGGAATTTAATGTAAATAAATGTCATGTTATGGAATGTGGAATAGGAGAACATAGACCCCACACAACCTATATATTATGTGAGAAATCTTTAAAGAATTCTGATAAAGAAAGAGATCTAGGAGTGGTTCTAGATAGAAAACTATCACCTGAGGACCACATAAAGAATATTGTGCAAGGAGCCTATGCTATGCTTTCTAACTTCAGAATTGCATTTAAATACATGGATGGTGATATACTAAAGAAATTGTTCATGACTTTTGTTAGGCCAAAGCTAGAATATGCAGCTGTTGTGTGGTGCCCATATCTTAAGAAGCACATCAACAAACTGGAAAAGGTGCAAAGACATGCTACTAAGTGGCTCCCAGAACTGAAGGGCAAGAGCTATGTGGAGAGGTTAGAAGCATTAAATATGCCAAAACTAGAAGACAGAAGAAAAAGAGGTGATATGATCACTACGTACAAAATAGTAACAGGAATTGATAAAATCGACAGGGAAGACTTCCTGAGACCTGGAACTTCAAGAACAAGAGGTCATAGATTTAAACTAACTAAACACAGATGCCGAAGAAATATAAGAAAATTCACCTTCGCAAATAGAGTGGTAGACGGTTGGAACAAGTTAAGTGAGAAGGTGGTGGAGGCCAAGACCGTCAGTAGTTTCAAAGCGTTATATGACAAAGAGTGCTGGGAAGACGGGACACCACGAGCGTAGCTCTCATCCTGTAACTACACTTAGGAAATTACACTTAGGTAATTACACACACACAGTTTTAGTTGATTGACAGTTGAGAGGCGGGACCAAAGAGCCAAAGCTCAACCCCCGCAAGTACAATTAGGTGAGTACAATTAGGTGAGTACACACACACACACCCTTCAAATTATGTGGAAAGGAACTCCACAGAACTAAAGAACTCTTACTCAGCAAGAGATGTAGGGGTAGTTCTGGATAGTAAGTAGACTGTCACCAGAAGATCACATTAAGAACAGTGTGAGGAGGAGCATATGCTACACTTTCTTACTTCAGAATCGCTTTTAAATACTGTACATGGATGGTGAAATATTAAAGAAACTGTTCACAACTTTTGTGAGACCAAAATTGGAATATGAAGTACTTGTATGGTGCCCAAATTTCAAGCAGCACATCTATAAACTGGAAAAGGTGTGAAGACGTGCTATGAAATGGCTTCCGGATCTGAAAAACAAGAGCAACAAGGAGAGGCTAGAGGTGTTAAATATGCCAAAGTTAGAAGACAGAAGAAAAGGAGGCATTATACAGTACATACATAATAGTAACAGGAATTACCAAAATTGACAAAGAGGAATTCCTGAAACCTGCAACTCCAAGAACAAGAGGACACAGAGTCACGGTAAGGAAACAAAGGTGCCAAGAAAATATTAAACAAAGGTGCCAAGAAAATATTAGAAAGCTCTCTTTTTGCAGAGCGATTGACGATTGGAGCAAGTTATGTGAAAAGACGGTGAAGGCCAAAACTGTCACTGTAGTTTCAAAGCATTATTTGACATAGAGTACTGGGAAGACGGGACATCACGAGCGTAACTTTCATCCCATAACTACACTTCCAGGATGGTAGGTAATTACTTTCCTACCCCAAGAAATTTGTCCTTACAAATATCCTACATTCACTTCTAAGATTCACTTCCCCAAAACTCCCACTCCATGTCTTTCGGTGATAACTTCCTTCCCACAGCACTAGAACATACCACTGAAACAATAATTAAAACCCTCCTTACCAAGTTGCCACTGGCAAAGCACGTGCTGTTGATGCTAAACAAGGCCTCATGGTAGACCACAGCGATGGTATCACTGACAACCACACTTCCACAACACTTGATCGCATTTCACCCATCATCAGCTTGGGGTTCACCCTGTACCATACACCCACTCAGAAAAACGTTCATTGGTTTGCAACTAGATTAGTACCAGAATTGAGGGGTTTTTTGTTACGAAGACAGATTGAGTAAGCTCTCCTCTCACAACCATATAAAACAGAGGGGATATAATGACTGAATACAAGATCCTGAGGGAGAGTTGACAAAGAAAGTCAATATAAATTTAAGAGGTAGGACAAGGGGCCACCAGTGGAAGCTGGGATGCACAATTGAGTCGTAGAGATGTAAAAAGCTTTTCGTTCCCTGTGTTGGTGGTCGGCAAGTGGAAAGAAGAGGTTGTTGAACCTAATTCCATCCACAACTTTAAGAAACAATATGATGAAAATGCTAATGTTGAGTGAGAGAATTGGCATGCCAGGTATGAGTGAGAGAATCCGCATACAGCAGTCTCGGGAGATAAACCAGCTATATTTCCTGCTAGGCATAAACTAGTAGGAAACAGGAGATAAAAACCTAGACCTCAATCCCCCCCCCATTGTCAATGATAGGTAAGTACCCAGTCCCAGTGCCAACAAAGCTTCAAGACAAGTAGGTCCTCCTGACAGCCACTCCAACTCCATCCTTGTATTCTCTACACATGTGGACACAAGTGTCAAATATGTGAAACTTTAACTAAGCTCTCAACCTGCTATGTTAAAAAAAACATTGTAACAAATCCTTCATCCATAATGACTATGCAAATTCTTCCTTTCCTACAAAAGTTCTCCTCTCCTAGTTCTACTTCCAAAACTCAGACATGAAGACGTTTTGAGTCACAAAAACGTGGCTGAAAATCTGATGACCAAACTACACACCAGAACTGTCATCTTCTGGTGTGTGGTTTGGTCCTCAAAAACATAAATGTCCCATCCTATAGTTTCCACATTTACTATAAATCCAATAATTTTTGAGTTTCCCCTGATGTAAGAAAATGAAATTGCTGATTCTGCACTACTGGCAAGCGTCTGACATAATCACATCATCTTCCATTACTACTGCAAGCCCATACAAAATGTGAGCAATAATATTTGCGTCTAACCTGCCCAGTGAGAGTGATGTGTCTCCAGCAGATGTGCCTCACGCAAGGCAACTCGTGCAGTCATCAAGAAGAGAAAAACCTTTCTGCAAATTGCACGCATTACAAAAAAAAAAGTGAACAATGGGAAAGGTCTGACGTGAAGATTTTAGATAAAGTTGCTCAAAATTTAAAGGCAAGGCAAACCATGCTAGAAATTAAAATGTAAATCAACAAGTTGAGAACTAATTATCAAAATGTTACCCAAGGGAACAGGGAATACAGTATACAGTGGTACCTTGGTGTACGACTGCCCTAGAGTACAATTTGTTTTGGTATACGATGTCAATTTCATCATAAAATTTGAATTGGTGTACAACGTTTTCCGTGGAATGCGACGTCTGTTGATACGTGTATGGGTCGAACGAGCACGTGGTGCTGAGGGTACTGGGTGAGGCACGCTCAGTTGTTTACCAGTGTATCCCGCAGAGTGACGATTGTGATCGCGCTTCAATTCTTTGTAAAGAATTTCATTGTTTTTCTGCTTTTTTTGGTTTCTGAAAATAAAAGTTATTATTATATATCATGTCATGGGTCCCAAAAAGGTCAGTGGCAAAGTTCAGCCTAAGAAAATAGTTGTGAGGATGACGATAGAGGAAAAACAAAGAGATCATTCATAGTGAATGAATGTGGTGTCTTGCTATAGTTAAAACATAGCGAAAAACAAATGTCTTTATACAGATTCTTAGTAAGACGAACAAGCAGTGAGCCACAAATAGGTCCTAGTGGTATGCCTACAAAACGTAGGAGAGTGAGTACCCCAAAAAAGTCATCACTGCCCGATGTTATAATGGAAGGGAACTTCCCTTCCAAACACTAACACCTCTCCTCCTCACCGTCTTCTATACACCAACAAGAATCCTCAATAAAGGCAAGATATACATACTGTACTGTAGTACAAAATATGAGTGGTATTTGGTATCAAATGTATTTGTAAGATAATATTTTTGGGTGTGTGGAACAGATTAATTCAATTTACATTATTTATGGCAAAATTTGTTTGGGTTTACGAGTTTTTGGTGTACAATGTGTCTCTAGGATCAAATTAGAATCGGAAATGAAGGTTCTGTACCACTGTATATATAACAGTAAGGTACATACGTTGACCAGACCACACACTAGAAGTTGAAGGGACGACGACGTTTCGGTCCGTCTTGGACCATTCTCAATCGACTTGAGAATGGTCCAGGACGGACCGAAACATCGTCGTCCCTTCAACTTCTAGTGTGTGGTCTGGTCAACATACTTCAGCCACGTTATTGTGACTCATCGCCTGCATAAGGTACATACCCCTAGTTGATTTTTAGTTTTAAACTGGATTACCTTGAGGATTTTAAAAATATCTAATTAGGTTAACTTTATTGTAATATTTCTTGGTTGACAATAGTTTAATAAAAAAAATGTCATTTAACAGTACAAATACTGTAAACAATTTATTATTTTATATATTATAAAAATTCTTGCATATATTCTACCTTTTGTGACAGAAGTTCTCGTTCTATAATTAAGAACATCTGCCTGCTTCTTATTTTGTCTTACAGGTTGACAAAGTACTGTACATTACAGTACAGTTGCACAAAATGTGTCCACAGGTTGTAAATGTCCCATTTAAGAGCCCCTAGCAGAACTATAGCTAAGCAATTTGTACAAGAACCCTCTTAAATGTATGGGTCTTGGAGTACAATAGTCAGCGTAGCAGTCACAATCGAAAAGCCCCATGATCAATTCCAGCAACATAAGAGAAATATTCAGGCAGTTTCCTTTCACCCGATTCCTATGTTCACCTAGCAGTAAATAGGTACCCAAGGAGCAACGTAACTATTGTAGGTTGCAACCTGGGGATAGATCAATAGTTGTCCTACATTAATACAACTATATAGGAACATTTAGTCAAACTAAGGCCATATTTTACTTAGCAAAGATTTGTAAGGCCACAGTGTTTTGAGCAGAATAATAATATGCTGTAAAAGATCCATTTATATTATAGTGGCTTATGGTAAAAGCTCCACATGAACTAACTTAAGCATTTAAATACACATATGCTGTATTATAACAAAACAAGAGAAGAGAAAAATAAATATTTTCTGAATCAATGAGAACTTTACCATAATTTTAGAATTAGGTTGCATTTTAATGTAACTAGAGTATATTGTGTTGTGTCGTGTGTGTTTTACATAAATGTTATTAAAATATTTTTGATAGATTTTGAAATACCCTTAATAAAGCTCAATTTTATAAAACTTATCTAATTATAATTTGGAGGTACAGTATAAAGCGAATCACTCGTTGTAGTACAGTCCCGACGGTAGTACAGTCAGGTTCATTCTCGACGCACAATAAAAAATTCTGGGTTCAAATCCCAGACGGGACAGAAATGGTTGGGCACATTTCCTTTCACCTAATGCCTCTGTTCACCTAGCAGTGAGTAGGGCCTCAGGAGGTAATCAGCTTGTTGTGGGGTTGCATCCTGGGCAGGGTCAGTAATTCGGCCTTGGGGGGGGGGGGGGGGGGGAAGGCGGGGGACCTCGATAAAAGCCAAACGTGTATGAATACACTCTGGCTTCCTGTCCCCTGACACAATAAATTTATTAATTATATCATACCCTGATTATTTAAATTTTGTTCCCAGTTTCATTATTCAGTGTAATTGTAGATCAAAAAGCATAAAATTACCTTTCATACATTCATACTGACCCTCAGTTGGTCTTTCCAATATTATTATTATTGTTTGTTTCATTTTTTCCCATAGTTTCACAACATTCAGTTAATTTCTTGTCATCCTTTTCAACTTTAACATTGTCTAGTATATCTTTCTCTTCTAACTCATCACATTCATCCATAATTTCAGTATTTTCTTTATATAGGAAGTGTCTATGGTCGCCTAAACATCGAAAGTGTATTGCTAACAAGGCAAAAACACATGGATCTTTGTAAATGACAATTCCTCTGAAAAAGGTTATGGAGTATATAGTTTCATAGCAGATATAATACATGTAATTATATCTGTATGAGTTTGAGTTTAAATTATGTAGCATTTGAAATAAGCCGATTATATACAGCAAGAAAAACACAATGAGTATAAACCATGAAACTCGTTTCCAAGCTCTTTCATGCCTGAGATCTGAGAGTGTGAGCACCTTCTGGTCAGAGCGATAAAGAGCCCATCGCACTAAAGCTCTATTGAATGGACGGAATTGGGTTATAGGCTTCTTTCCATCTCTATCTTCATCTGCTTTCAAAAGGCTAACTTCTTCCAGATTTTCCATAAGCTTCGATTTCAACCAGGTTTCTGTAGAAAGGACAGTCATCATTACTGTTTGGCTTAAATATAAAAACATTATATTTGTTAAAATGATAATATTTTTATCATTTATAAATATGAAAACATTATATTCCATTTTTCTGGACCTACCAGTCCAGGTCCAGGGAAATGGAAGTGGTGCAGAGGAAAAGATCAATGCAGGGAGAAGTGCGGGTGCAAGAAAATCAATGCGAGTTGACTTGCCAGGAAAGTATTTAAAATAGACAAGGATGAAGAATACATAAAGGGTTCTAAATAACAGCCATGGGAATTAGTTACTAAACGGCTCCAGAAGTTAACGGCCGCCTGCAGTTAAAATCCCATAAAGGTAGTAATGGCATAGTTAAAATATCTAAAATAAGCATAAAATTAATGAGAGGACAGAAGCTAAAAAGAGAACATACATTACAGCGAACAATACATTACATTGTTAAGGGAGCCGGCCGGCCGAGCGGACAGCACGCGGGACTTGTGATCCTGTGGTCCTGGGTTCGATCCCAGGCGCCGGCGAGAAACAATGGGCAGAGTTTCTTTCACCCTATGCCCCTGTTACCTAGCAGTAAAATAGGTACCTGGGTGTTAGTCAGCTGTCACAGGCTGCTTCCTAGGGGTGGAGGCCTGGTCGAGGACCGGGCCGCGGGGACACTAAAAAAAAAAAAAGCCCCGAAATCATCTCAAGATAACCTCAAGATACAGTATACCATTTATTCATGAATATACAAGCAACAGTGAATTGGATGACATTACTAATGACACAAACAAATGCTGTTCACATGTCAGACTCTGTATTGTATTGGTTTTTGTGCAGAATGTATGAGGCTGTGTTGTAAATATTTCCGTATCTTCAAATTTGAATCCGAACATGTAGGTCATGGCCTGGTAATCGGTGATACATGGTATATACCTGACGGAATACAGTAGTTAAGTCACTTGATAATCCCCCGTGGTGAGTTGGTAACACACTCACCTGGTATTTCGCGAGCGCTTTGGTCTGGATTCGTATCCTGGCCAGGGAGGATTGACTGGGTGCCACTCCTTAACTGAAGCCTCTGTTCACCCAGCAGTGAATGGGTTGTTAAATGATTTGGCGGGTCGTATGCCGGGGAAAATTAGGATTAAGAACTTGCCCGAAACACTTTGCGTGCTAGTGGCTGTACAAGAATGTAATAACTCTTGTATATACAGTATAAATAAATACAAAAAAAAATAAAATAATTAAACAAAACTTCATTTATACCGTTAAATTTTGGAATGAGAGCAAATGTTTCTACATCTCGTTGGCAACACGGTGGATAGGTCATTCCATGAGAAAGGGGGGATAGATACCCACAGTAAGGTTTCTTAAGTTCTACTTGAGACACATGAGTGAGATTGTGCTCATTTATAACCTCAACTGCTTGGAATACAATTGCCTATATCCAGCTATTTGCTGGCGTCCAGCAATCAGTACCTATAAAGACCTGTTAGCCTACACTGTATCTGGCAATCAGTACCTATAAAGACCTGTTAGTCTACACTGTCAGATAATAATAATAATTCATTGTGTTGGGGTACAGGAAGCCAGAGTGTATTCACACACATTACGTTTATATCGAGGTCCCCCCCCCCTCTCCCCCCAAGGGTCGAATTACTGACCCCCACCCAGGATGCAACCCCTCAAGCTGACTAACTCCTGAGTACCTACTTACTGCTAGGTAAACGAAGACATTAGGTGAAAAGAAGTGTACCTAACCATTCTGTCCTGCCCGGGATTCGAATCCTGAATTCTCGATTGTGCGTCAAGAACAAACTCGACTGTACTACCGTGACCCATAGTATAGTATAGATAAAATGAAACCCCCAAAAAATTACAGAAGTTTTTCATAAGTACTGTAATAACATTAAAACATGAGAGATATCTAATACAAAGGTTAAAATAATACTTATATTGTTCAGTTTTCAATGCCTGTACATGCTTCTGACGAAAATCATAAGAAACTACAGTAATTTTTTTTATCGTCAAATTTAAGGGGTTATACAAGTACTTGTACAAGTTATCCAGTCACTGACACCACATACTGTGCAGTACATGCCTCCAAATCAATTAATCACATACCAATGCACCATGTTACCTTGCATATTAAAAAATAAAGTAAATAATTCACCAGTTTGAAACCACTACCAAAGACTATTGTCATATCATGCTACCATATACAGTAGTATTAGATTTTCATGTTTGATGGTTCCCAAAGAATTAATCACCAAGCATTAGGGTAGCCAATGCCAGTGTCCACTCTGGGGGATGTAACAGTTATTATAGAAATGTTACCCAATAGTATTGAAAGAAAGGTGAGTATAATACTATATAGACAACAGTAAACTAGAGTTATACCAATGAAATTCCCCTTACAAACAATAATAATAATAATTTTTTATTCAGGTAAACTTACATACATTGTACATACAAAATGAGTTACAAACAGAATGATGGAGTTCTAGGTAGAGCTAGTATATACTATGCCTAAAGCCACTAAGAGGCACAGCATTTCGGGCAAGATGTGGGGAAAACTTAAGAACTAAGACTTAAAAACAATTGAGATCAAAAGCATGAATTGAACTGAATTAGGGAAATTTTTTTTATTTGAGTTCAATGGGAGACATGACTATCAGTCTGATAATACACCAGTCCAGATAGCCTACTGCGCTCCATACCTCTGTCCACCTACATATTTCATCTATAAACATGATTGGGGTGCCTTCTCTATGTCTATATTGAAGAGAAAACTATATGTTTTTTCTTGCTACACATATCATTGGTGTTTCCATTAGAAAGTCAGATGTAACACAAGCAAGGAGCAATGATTACTAAATCACACACCAGAAGATGAGAAGATGATGACGTTTCGGTCCGTCCTGGATCATTATCAAGTCGATTGTGATAATGGTCCAGGGCAGACCAAAACGTCGTCACCTCCTCATCTTCTGGTGTGTGGTTTAGCAATCATATCTTCAGCCATGTTATTATAACTCATCGCCTGTATAAAGAGCAATGGTTTCAAGCTCAGCAAGCCATAATGTAGGACAGAAGACAAGAGGCACTTTTTCACCCATAGGGTTATAAGTCCATAGAACTGCCTACCTGCCGATGCCATAAATGCCAAAACACTCCTGAAATGCAAAATCCAGCTCGATAAAATCATCCGGACAAATGGAGGAGGACCTGTCACACGCCACTGTCTTCCTGTCCTCGTTAAGACCACTAAAGAGATAGTGGCTCCTCAGGTAAAATAACTTTTTTTTTTTCATCTTGGACTGATGGGCTAAGAGTGTAGTGTGAGGTGGAGCAAAATTGCCATGATTCCAGTGTTTAAATTTATTTAATTTCAAATAAAAATAAGCCACTTCAAAGAAATAGATCAATTTTTGCTAAAATAATTTGATTTCAATTGATTTGCAGTTAATGTTGTAAGGTTATGTTAATTAACTCCCTAAGTTTGTCACATTTCTCACTTTCATAAGGTGGGGAAAGCATAGCCTGGAGAAAAAAGGTAAATGCTTCAGTGAAATAAAGTTATAGAACTTAACGAGAAAACTATCAATAGTCAATTCATTATATCATTCATACTAATCTACAGGACATCACATAAGGAGGCAGTCACAATCCAGCACCTATCCACAGTAGTATGCCACCATTTCATAAGATTAGGTGTGTACTGTAATCCTTGTGAAGTGTTATACACTATTCGTTACAAATAAATTCACTCCATCCATATAAACTTCTTCCACCCAACCTTATCCATTCCCATATCCTGTGTGTTGTTGTTGATGTTGTTAACCCACCCTTCCTCATACTATCGCTCATCATGTCCATCCATTTTCCCTACCTCAGCCTTGCTCTCCTCCTACCCTCAAGTTTACTCTATCAATACACTATCATCCATTTTTGTTCAGCAAGCCCTAACCATCTCCTTACACTTTTTTATTTGGTGTCTTGCAATTTACTGACTGGCATTTCACTTTTTTTCCACAACATTTTTGTAAGCACTTCTTTACGATTCGTGCCGTCTGCAAGGAGGTTTTCTCCTGGTGGATGAATGTGTGGTGATGTTCGGAGACACATTATTATTTTATGTTTTTTTTTTTTTGGCCACAGTGATTTATTGAACAATCAACTGCAGAAAGTGATTGTAGTGTTTTTAAAATACTAATCTAACCTACATACATAAATACAGACTTATGTCTGTCCTACATATAAACAGTAACCTGTTTATATTAATTCATTGTATCAGGGGACAGGAAGCCAGAGTGTATTCATACACATTAGGTTTATATCGAAGTCCCCCCCGCCTCCCCCCAAGGCCAAAGTACTGACTCCTCCTAGGATGCAACCCCACAACAAGCTGACTAATTCCTGAGTACCAACTCACTGCTAGATGAACAGTGTATTAGGTGAAAAAAAATGTGCCCAACCATTTCTGTCCCCCCCTCTGCGATTTGAATCTGGAATTCTCGATTGTGCATCGAGAACGAACCCGACTGTATTACTGGGACCCTCAATTATATGTAGTAAGAGGTCTCCCCCCCCCCCCCCCTTAATACATGTTTGGTGTTGAATGGCACTTTGAGGTTGATAACTTCTTGTTTTCAATTAATTCTGGCACTGTGATGTCTGAAGCAATGAAGAAAAGTGTTGAACTTCAACTTGAACTTCTCTGGAACTTCACAAAGGATGCAATATTCATATAAGTCTGTCGTGTATTTATAGCTGTATGCTGCTAGTTTGATATGTTCTAGCCTAAGTCTGGTGATTGTTATATTTAATATTTTGAGCCAAGTGTGTTGAAAAGCTTCCCAAATCATTTTTATGTTCCATAGTATGTTGAAAAGCATGACTAGTTTCATTTTGTTGTGATATTTTGAGTAAATATAGATTTTAGGACCTCTGTTTGCTCTACACAGGGAATTGGTTTGTGAACTTTTGCTAATTAATCAACAATTTAAGATTTTAGTATTATGCAGTGTGTTGGCATGTATTATCTGATATGTCAAATCCTTGTGAATGGTGTTGGTGGAAGTATTATAGGCAAAGCTAGACTCACTCTCTGCATGTATTGGAGGAGTATGCAATGGTTTGTCACCTATGGAATGCCTACTCACCAAAGCTGCGAGTGCCAAGGTATTATTGTCTACACTTGATAATTCAGATTCCGGTAATCCAAATCTTCGAGTAATCCGAATGAATTGATGTTAACATGTTTTACCTTTTTTATTTTTTAATTCGAACAGTGATTTGGGTTTGCAACCAGCCTTGGAATATTAGATTTCTGGACAACTTGATGGTTATATTGCCAGATTTAAAGAGACACATCACCATGAAGAGGAAAGTTTTCAGTGAAAAATTGAGTACAGATACAAGTAGGCGAGCCATTCAAACAAAAATTAAGAACGTGAAATTTTTCTAACAATCTATATCAGAATCAAATCCTTATCAGTGATGAAACAGGTCTGCATTGGAAGAGTTTGCCTGAAAAACTGTAGCTCTGAGGAGTGAGGTAAGTGTGCCAAGGTGTAAAGTGATAAAAAAAGTTATCAGCAATGGTGTATGTGTGTCAATGCAAATGGCACACACACACAACCATGTGTGCAATTGTTGGCAAATCCAAGAAGCCAAGAGCCTTAAAATATTGCTTGAACTGCTTCTGAAATATAATAGCTCAAAGAATGCATTGTTTACCTTAAGGTGGGTACCTTGAGGTGCTTCCGGGGCTTAGCGTCCCCGTGGCCCGGTCGTCGACCAGGCCTCCTGGTTGCTGGACTGGTCAACCAGGCTGTTGGATGCGGCTGCTCTCAGCCTGACGTACAAATCACAGCCTGGTTGATCAGGTATCCTTTGGAGGTGCTTATCCAATTCTCTCTTGAACACTGAGAGGGGTCGGCCAGTTATGCCCCTTATGTGAAGTGGAAGCGTGTTGAACAGTCTCAGGCCTCTGATGTTGATAGAGTTCTCTCTCAGAGTACCTGTTGCACCTCTGCTTTTCAACGGGGGTATTCTGCACATCCTGCCATACCTCCTGGTCTCATGTGATGTTATTTCTGTGTACAGGTTTGGGACCAGCCCCTCTAATATTTTCCAAGTATAGATTATTATGTATCTCTCCCGCCTGCGCTCAAGAGAATACAGATTTAGGCTCTTTAGTCAGTCCCAGTAGTTTAGATCCAAGAACCAAGAGATCTTTCTTCCATGGTTTCATTATTTTTTTTTTTTTTTGAGGAAATTAAAATCAAGAAACACAAAGCAAAGCCAAATGAAGTTCGGGCTTTGCTCCTGCTTAATAATGTACCTCTCCACTACCCTTATTGATGCCTTAACTTCACATGATGGGAATTTAACATGCATAGCACTGCCTCCTAATACCACCTCTCAGTAGGTGAGTGTGCCGAAAGAAGACGGGCAGGGTGTGAGTGTGTGCTAGGAGGAGATGGGTAGGGTGTGTGTGTGTTAGGAGATGGGCAGGGCATGTGTGCTAGGAGAAGACAGGCAGGGCATGTGTGCTAGGAGGAGATGGCCAGGGTGTAAGTGTGTGCTGGGAGGAGACAGGCAGGGCATGTGCTAGGAGGAGACGGGCAGGGCATGAGTGTGTGCTGGGAGAAGATTAGGGTGTATATGTGGGGTGTAGTGGGCAGAGCTTGAATGTGTGATGAAAGAAGAAGGTTAAGGGTGCGTATGTGTTAGCAGGTGATGGGTAGGGTGTAAGTGTGTACTGGATGTGTGTGTGTGTGTGTCCTGCAAGGAGATGGGCAGTGCATGTGGGGGAGGGTGTGGGAGACATGGGATTGGTGTGTGGAGGTGAGGGAGGTAGATTATGTATGAAGATGTTTACAGTATTTACCTAAGACAGTACGTATTGAAAATTGTTACAGTAATGAGGGAGACTAAGAGTGTGTGTATGGAGAGAGAGAAAGAGAGGGTGTGTAAGCAGACTCTCAGGTGTGTGATAAGAGACCTGGCCACTGTATAGGATACCTGGTGGTGCCTGGGTCTATAGCAGGGTTATGAACCCATGGAACCATCTACCCATCAAAGCTGTAAATGCCAAGACATTACTGCAGTTGCATTTATGCCAAGACATAACGACGCAGTTCAAAATCCATTTGGAAAAAATTCTCTGGAAAATGGGGGGAGCCATTGACAAGCCCCCAGCTTCTTGTCCCCATCATGTATATACATTATATGTATAATGTATAAACTTTAGGATTATATTGAGGCCCCCCTCAAGGTCGTACTACTGATCCTTCCCAGGATGCAACTCCACAACAGTTAAATAACTCCAGGGGTACCTATTTACTGCTAAGTGAACAGTCATTAGTTAATATGAAACATGCCCAACCATATTTGTCCCACCTGGGATTCGAAAACGGAATTTCCAATTGCGAGTCCAGAACGAACCCAATTTACCTTTGGGCCACCAACATTAGTGGTCTAGACGAGGATAGGAAGCCAGCGGCTTGTCAAAGATTCCCCCCATTTGCCTTGATGATCATTTCCAGCTGTACTTTAAAATTTAACAGAGTTTTGGTATTTACGGCTTCGGAGGGTATACGGTTCCATGGGTTAATAACCCTGTGGGGATATTAATCTCCTGTTCTTTTAGTTATTAATCTCCTGTATTAACCGTGGGGTTAATAATCTCCTGTATTAACCGTGGGGTTAATAATCTCCTGTATTAACCGTGGGGTTAATAATCTCCTGTTGTTAGTCCTACATTATGGCTTATTGAGTTTGAAACTGTTGCTCCTTGTTTGTATTACATCTGACCTTTTGAAGAAATTTTCTGGATCAACATCCTCCAACTTGTTCAATATTTTAATTATTAATAATAATAAAAATAATAATGTTTATATAGGCAAATGTACAAACAAAATGAGTTACAAGCAGAATGTTGGAGTTCTAGATCGAGCTAGTATGTACTATGCCTAAAGTCTAGTACTCTACATATGCATAGCATTTTGAGCAAGATGTGGGGGGGGGGAGGACTTGAAAAATTAAGACTTAAAACTGAATGAGATCAAAAGCTTGAATTAAACTGAAGTAGAAAATTGTCAGGTCCCGACAGATTTATCTCTTAATAAAAAACTAATAACAGAGAGGCTTTAATGTTTATTAGTCTATTATGTGACTCTATTAACAAGTTTATCACACATTTAGCCATGAATATTAAATTTTTACATAATGTCATGTAATCATCATAACCCATCGTACCGCCGAAGCCGTATGCTGGAATCTAGAATCCTGCTGGATAAAATCATCAGCACAACTAAGGGGGGGGGGCTTTTGACAAGCCACCAGCTTCCTGCCCTCGTCGAGGCCATTATTAAGATGGTGGCCCCTCGGGTAAATGTTATCCACCGTCACCCGAGTTTACCTGAGAGCCACTGACACTAGTGGCCTCGACGAGGACAGCAAGCCCGCGGCTTGTCGAAAGTTCTCATTTGCCTTGATGTATACCTATAATCCAAGAAGCTTTCTCTCTCTCTCTCTCTCTCTCTCTGTTGTCGTCTTAAACATTGACTTGAATTATAATCAGCTTCACAATATACTTTATCATTGAGCTTACATTATATAGAATGGAGTTCCTTATACAGTGTTCTGCGTGCACAATGTTTCCCTTCTTGATGGTGGTGCAACTTGAAGGGTCTATCTTCTCGATGCTTGCGTCAGTACAACTGTTGGGAGACGCGTTAATGTTGAGAATGACAAGATTTCAGAGGTGTTTGTTGTCTTGTGTTGATAGAGGAGCGGCGACTAAACAGAGGCGTGTGTTAGAGAGAAACTTGCCACACTCTAGGAATGTTTCCTTCGTGTGGCAAGTTTTCCTAGTTTCGTGAATTTTGTAAACAAACAACACAGGGTCTGCAGGCTCAGTAGCTAGTTAGTATGTATAAAGATTTATGGGTCGGAGACCAAAGGTAGAAGAAACGAGTCTTCCACCATGAATGCGGATGAACCTTGGATATAAATAAATAAAATATAACGAGCTTCGGCGAATCGTCTCGTGTACTAAACGACCAAACCGCATTACACCATATTTCAAAACATGGTGTTATAAATATAGTTTTATGCATTATAGTTGATGTGATGACTTATATTGAATTTTGTAACTAGCTCATCAAGATTGTAACTTGCTTAGCTAAATGAATTGTGGGGTTCAGTCCCTGAGCCCATTATGTGCCTCTGTAACCCTTTCCACTACCGCCCACAAGATGGGTATGGGGTGCATAATAAATGAACTAAACTAACTGCATTATAGGCACTCTCCAATTAAGAAGCTTAATAATTATCAATGCGAATTATCCAAAATGTGGTATATAGTTTAACAAACCAAATATTTTAGTTTGTTAGAAAACTAAATTTTGATTTTTGGGGGGAATAAACTCCCTTTCTCAGATTATTTACTCTGATGGATCCTTGCATCAGTCCCATGGTGCAGCTGGAAGTGCAGTTGTTGTGACAGGGAGAGATGGTTCCTTCTCCCATGAGTGTGGAGCGCGTCTCAGTAACTGGGCCTCCACTCTTCATTTATTTATTTATTTATGCATATACAAGAAGGTACATTGAGAATGTGAGGATACATAATATGGTAATTACAGTCTTGTAAAGCCACTAGTACGCGCAGCGTTTCGAGCAGGTCCTTAATCTAAGAAAATTTTAAGTAGGTAAATACTTGCAAAATTTATAGACAAAAAAGATAACAGTTACATGGAATGAAAAAAAGATAAGAGCAAATTGTAGGTACAGTATATTAAAGCACATAGGTAGCTAAGATTGATTGCAATGACAGCTTGAATGGTAGTTGACAAAAATTGGTAGTCACAATACAGCATATGGCTAGCACATAAAAGAAGACAGCAATGAACACAAGGATAAGGTTGTTTGATACTACATAAAAATTAGGAGATTGGGTAACACTAGGTACAGAGCAAATTTAAAGCTCAGTGTAGGAAACTAAGAAGATGAAATTAGGTACTTTTTGGTTTTGCTTTTAAATAAGGCAAAAGTTTTACAGTTTTTCAATTCACTAGGGAGTGAGTTCCATAGACTAGGTCCCTTAATTTGCATAGACTTCAGACAGAATTGGTTGCCATAATCCTTGCACTCGAGCCCGTATATGAATCCAAAGTTGACACGCTAATTGTAAGTGATTCCTTGTCATCCTTGACTGCCCTCAGCTCCCTAAGGCATAACTGAGACGTGCTTATCTCTGAAGCTAGACACAGATATAGTGAAATAATCAATGATGGAGTCAGAGTTTGTCTCCTGTGGATTCCTTCCCATATTGGTCTCCGAATGCTTGATTGAACTGATGAGTTGGCCAAGACTTTTTCTCGTAAAGAGGGAATTGATTACCAACTTGGACTGCCTTTGAGCAGCCTGAGGGCAGCAATATCCCAGGAACATCAACTAAATTTCGGAGACTTGAGGCAAAGTGAAATTCACACCAGTTACTCCATCTATCATCATTCTATTATGCAGGAAGAACCGCACGTCTATGGGTCATCCAATAATGTTAGCAGACTTCTAGATGTTACCACTGCTAGGCTTAGGCTCGGCTACAAGTACCTCTGGGAGTTTGTAACATCTGCTGATGTAGAATTGACTAAATGTAAACTCTGTCAGCAGAACTATTCGCATACTTTGCGTCATTATATAATGGAATGTGAAAAAATCGCGGAATTTAGAGATAACACAATCAATAGTGTCCAAGAAATGTGTAAGTACTTCATTCATAATGATGTGCTGCTCGAAATCTTAGCGAAGTATCCAAAATTAACTTACTGTAGGTAATGCATGCACATGACTGTAAAGCTGCCGCCCAGTTGGGTGGGTGTGGAGTAAGACTAGTAACTGTGTGACTCACCATAGATGTAAAGTGCCTTGTATAGTGACTGTTGTGAGCCTCTTGTTGATCACTTGTGACACAAAGATTATTGATGTGTGTATTTGCGTGGGTGATTAGATATGTATGTGTATGTATATATGTATACGTATATATATATATATTTACATGTATGTATGTGTACATGTGTATACAACATTAATAATTTTGTAATTAGCGTCAAACATTGTTATTTGCTTAGCTAAACGAACTAGAGGGTTCAGTTCCTGAACCGATTATGTGCCTCTGTAACCCTTTACACCACCGCCCACGGGATGGGTATGGGGTGCATAATAAAGAAAGAAATTGAATTGGGGAATAAACTAAATTTAACATTCTAAATATTTATTTTAAGTTTTTTGTCTACAATCATTTAACAAGCACATTGTTACATATACATAACACTGTGCTGCTGCCCTATTCTATATGGAAGATTCCACAGTGTAGATCAAAAACTAGCTATAAGTTCATCTAATATCCCCATCTCAGAGGATATAGGGATATTATTGATGGATATTACCAAAGATGGACTTTATTTAGCTCAGTATTCACAGTGACATTTAGAGCAAACGGGTCAGGACTGGAGGAAATGAAAGTTGTGTCATAAGCAACATAAAGTACAAGAACTGTGCTGTCAACATTATGTGCAAGAACTGTGCTGTCAACATTATGTGCAAGAACTGTGCTGTCAACATTACGTGCAAGAACTGTGCTGTCAACATTACGTGCAAGAACTGTGCTGTCAACATTACGTGCAAGAACTGTGCTGTCAACATTACGTGCAAGAACTGTGCTGTCAACATTACGTGCAAGAACTGTGCTGTCAACATTACGTGCAAGAACTGTGCTGTCAACATTACGTGCAAGAACTGTGCTGTCAACATTACGTGCAAGAACTGTGCTGTCAACATTACGTGCAAGAACTGTGCTGTCAACATTACGTGCAAGAACTGTGCTGTCAACATTACGTGCAAGAACTGTGCTGTCAACATTACGTGCAAGAACTGTGCTGTCAACATTACGTGCAAGAACTGTGCTGTCAACATTATGTGCAAGAACTGTGCTGTCAACATTATGTGCAAGAACTGTGCTGTCAACATTACGTGCAAGAACTGTGCTGTCAACATTACGTGCAAGAACTGTGCTGTCAACATTACGTGCAAGAACTGTGCTGTCAACATTATGCAAGAACTGTGCTGTCAACATTACGTGCAAGAACTGTGCTGTCAACATTATGCAAGAACTGTCCTGTCAAGAACTGTGCTGTCAACATTACGTGCAAGAACTGTGCTGTCAACATTACGTGCAAGAACTGTGCTGTCAACATTACGTGCAAGAACTGTGCTGTCAACATTACGTGCAAGAACTGTGCTGTCAACATTACGTGCAAGAACTGTGCTGTCAACATTACGTGCAGGAACTGTGCTGTCAACATTACGTGCACTGTGCAAGAACTGTCAACATTACGTGCAAGAACTGTGCTGTCAACATTACGTGCAAGAACTGTGCTGTCAACATTACGTGCAAGAACTGTGCTGTCAACATTACGTGCAAGAACTGTGCTGTCAACATTACGTGCAAGAACTGTACTGTCAACATTACGTGCAAGAACTGTGCTGTCAACATTACGTGCAAGAACTGTACTGTCAACATTACGTGCAAGAACTGTGCGGTCAACATTACGTGCAAGAACTGTGCTGTCAACATTACGTGCAAGAACTGTGCATTTGGCTCGCTGCTCAATAGTGAGAGGAGGTGCTAGATGTCCTTGTTGTAGTGAGTCAAGAGCGGCAGGTTTGAAGCAGTCATAGACAGTCTTTAGTGACGAGAAAGTAATTTATGCCTGTATTGTTCTTGACGTTGTTTGTTTGTGCTATGTTAGTGGCATTGTAGAATGTGGAGACAGTTAAATGTGACAATCTGTGCCTCACCAGAGTACAGCATCCGCAGACAGTGCACCATTCTGGCAGACCTACTGAACTGTACTGTGTACTGTACTAGACAATCACGGCACCATTGTAACAAGTCGGTGCGTGAATCTGTAGGCCAGGTATAAAACCTGTCCTGGCCTCGTGTACGAAGTAAACATGGTACTGGTCCTCGAGGTTGCAACCCACAACAGTGTGGTTGACTCGCACCATCACGAGGCTCCCCAGTGGTCGGCGTGTATAAAGAGGAAGAAGGTTTAGAGAGAGTGCGCCTACCGTCATGAATTATCCACATAAGGTGGTCTGCCAGCATTGCACCTCTTATGAAACAAAATATTGTGAATATTTGAGTCTTCCTGAAATGCTCGATAGAAAATCACCGCCTCAGACGACCTTGGGAGTAAAGGGGGACGAACATGTATATAACATTTATTGCTAATTAATTACAATCAGTACTTAACCTATTGCTATTTTGATATTACATTTTTATAACATTTATAAAATAAAACTAAAATTTCTCAATAAATTTTAAAGTAACTTAAGATATTTTAAAATTTTGTATAATTTGTTTTTTTTTTATAAAATTATAACAAAAGATATTTATATTTAAAACTTGCACCACTATCAGTTAAGAAATTGATCTTCTATAAAAATTTTGAGTATATTTATACATAATTAGTTAATCTCGTACCTATCCTACTACCTTCCCTACTGGCTGTAGTGAACACCATGTCCTTCCTGTGGATGAAAGTGAGCCTCATACCCATCCAGTTTTCTATTTATTTATATACAAGAAGGTACATTGCGTTTATGAGAATACAGAGCATTGAAGTGTTTACATTCTTGTAAAGCCACTAGCACGCACAGCGTTTCGGGCAGGTCCTTAATCTAACAGATAATTTTAAGAAGGTAAACAAATCCACAAGAGCCGTGACGAGGATTCGAACCTTTGTCTGTGAGCATCCCAGACGCTGCTTTTAAGAAGGTAATTTCTAGCAAAATTAAAAAAATCGACAGGAACATTGTAAGAAAGTATTGTATACAAATGCATTGCATAAGAAATTTGACAGGATTAGTAGGTACGTTAAAGTAAATGTAAGGGCAATCCACAGGTACATTGTAGCATAATTTGAG